ATGACGCGGTCTTGCCTTCCCCCTCGTCTGGAGGGTACATGGCAATCTGGTGGTACCGCTCTGTATGCATCTAAAACTCATCCTTTCATGGTCCTGAGTGGCGTCTACCAGTTGGTCGATTTGGGCAGAGAAAGCTGTCTTTGGGGGCAAGCTTTGTTGAAGGCTGGTAAGTCTACACAAACCCTCCATTTGCCATTCTTCTCTTTTTTAGCTAACTACCTGTGTTGGCAGCCATGTTGGGTAGCTGACTTCTCGGGATGGCCCTGCGCCTGCCAGGAGTCTGTCTAACTATTCTTCTACTGCTGTCGGACGTGTATCAACGTCGGTCTTCTGGCTCGCGGTTGAATCACAGGTTTTGCCGATCTGTCGACATTCGAGTTTGTGGCTAAGTGCTCGGGGTCAATGCGTGGCATTTCAATAAGGTGTCCAGGCGAACCACCCTCATGTTTTGTCGCTTAAAAAAATCTTCAGCTCTTCTTTCTTCTTCCGCTAGCTAAGGCTTGAGCCGAGAAGAAAGAAGCGTTCTTCGTCGTCTTCTTGGATGAAATTTTTTTTATGGCGCTCTTTCGCTCTTTTCCGGCTGGTTCTTCTTTCCCGACGTCTTCTAGACCTCCATGTCCTCATCTTCAACTTCTGCTTTCCTTGGCTCCCGTTATACTACAGGTGGACTTTCATTGCTGTTCATGGAGCAATTTTTTGCTTTGTTTAGTTGATCTCCTCTGACTTCTTCAATCCGCAATGCTCTGTTGGGAACCGTAGTAGTTTGACTTGCAACGTGTGAGGGAACCTGCCCCCATTGCATGCACCACGGCCTTCAAGCTGATGTTGTATGGTGAGGGCCGTGTCCATTACCAAACAATTCTGTCTGGATCTTCTTAGTGCCCGGCTTGTACTTCGCAGTTTGTTGCGCCTAGTGGTCATGTCGGCGTTCCATTAAGCCGACCATCGGGCCGCTGGATTGTTCTAAGTCATCATGGGTGGAAGGCCCAGGCTGCCTTGTAACATCTGACATACATGATGTTCACAGGAGCTGCTTGATCTATTAGGATGCGTTTCACTTGGCACTCCCCAATCCTGGAGGGATACTACCAAGCGCATCATATGCGGGATGTTGGATCCAATTCCAGGTCGGCTTTGAGTAAAGGCTTATCATCGGCCCTTGGATTCTTTCTGGCCGTGTCTTCTTCTCCCCGACTTGGTAAACATGCCTGTAAATGTCTTCGGCTTCTGGGTCCTCCCCTCTGACTTCGTTTCGTTGACCCTTGAGTGGATCACATTACACCCTCGTCCTCCTGCTTAGGTGGCTGTGCTGGGGAAAGGCGGCGCTGCTGTTGCTTTGCGGCAACCTTGCCTGTCTTCCTTGTCTGGCTTCATCGACTAGGTCCCTCAGAAGGCCTTGTTCTCACCAGGTGCTCAAGTGGTGCTTTCAAGGCCTCTGCAACCTTGAGTTGGGTGTCCTTCTCATTGTGGTAGGCACAGACGTCTTACCAACGTTCCTTCCATGAATTCCCCTGGTGCCTTGCCGGAGCCCTGAAATAGAGGTTGGTTTCGAATTTGATCTAGGACTTTATGGATTGGGATTCGGAATTACGCGTCGTTACTGCCGTGTTTACTTCTCAACTCTGTTTCTTGTTTTGGTCCAGCCATTGTTGCCGCTCGGCCTCGCTTTCGGCGAGCCATTGCCCTTTTCTTGTTTTAACCTCTTTGTTTCCCGTATGTATCTTCTTCGGCTCTGGCGTACTTCTCAATTCTTGCCATGAGTTCTCCATGCTTTTGGCAATATTTTTGCACAAGACTTCCGTAGTGGGCAGTCATCTTTCAGGCCGTTCTTGAAAGACACGACCGCTACCTCTTGTTGCATTCGGGTATTCGGTTGAACACCTCGTAGTACTCTTCGCATAGGCCCTAAGGCCTTCTTCCTTGGTGATTCTTATAGCCATCAAAGCATCAACCCTCAGGGGTTGCAGCTTGTTGGTCAAGAACATGGCACAAACAATCTCGGCCAAGGCCTTCCCATGTCCTTTATGGCTTCCCTTTGGTAATTTATGGAACCAATCAGATGTAATTTCCCCAAGGATGAGGGGGAATACTTTGCAGAGCAACGGCTCGTTCCCGCTTATATAACGCCTTGAATTTAAGTATAGTCCAACATGAAAGTTTGGATCTGACTTGCCATCATAAATTTGAAACCTCGGCATACTGAATCTTTTTGGTGGTTCGAATTTGTCCAGTTCCACCGAGAAGGCTGTCTTCGCTTTACTGGGGGTTTACCTCGGCTTCAAACTTCTGCTGCCTCCTTTTTGAGGTAGTCCTCAGGTCTTCTTTGCTCCTTCCTGGAGCTCGGGCTGTCTATGGATTTTTAGTCTTTTTGGTACACTGCTTTCGTCCTCGTGGTGGCCCGTTTGGATCTTTCCCCATGGGTTGTGTCAGCAGAGTGCTGCCTTTGAACATGCCGATGTTCTCTAGGCTCTGGATTTTCATGTGGTGCGTCCTTTCGGGACTCTTCTTGCCTCGGTTCTTCTCTCGTCCGACTTCCCTGGAAGGCCGGTGAGAATGCTTCCGCTCCTGGTATGCTGAGGGACGTGGGGATTGTTTTTCTTCCGCCTTCTGGGCGTTGGTTGCTGGCATCGGCGTATCTTGCAGCGGGTATGGTGGCTGCATAACATTATTTCTGCATCATGAAGTTGACGACTGACTGAAGGTCTGCCAACTTGTTCGCCAATTCTTTTACTTCCTCATCCCTCGTAGGCATCTGTCCCTCCATACCTGGAGGTTATCTTCATTGTAGTATTTTCTTGTCTGTCCTTTTTTGACGTGTACCCTCCTGGATGACGTCTTTCTCTCTGTGACGCCTGGTCACGGGCTTCTGTATTGTGGTTGTCTCCTTCAATGTCAAGGTCAATTGGTCTGCCATCCCAGCGGGAGCGTCATCCCAATATTTTCCTGCTGTCCGTTACTGGCCATTCTATTCTTCCTTCGTTCCCACAGACGGCGCCAAATTGTGTGGGTGAAAATCTTGACCACACTGCCTGCTTAGTAACCAGCTGGAGAGCACAGGCAGAATAAGATGGCTTCAGTAACTGTAACAGAAAAGAAAAGGCTCCGCGGTGGTTCTTCCACCGCGGGGCACTCCGACGATCAAGTTAGTATATCTCTCAAAGATAATCAAGTGCGAAACTTAATACTCAAAACATAAATTCCATACCTTAGACCCATGGGGGTGTCTCTACTCAGGGAGGGGGATGTAATTTTCAAAAGGTGAGGGGAGAACTGTAATAAACATAAACCTCAGGAGGTGTCAATGTAAGTTACCCAAACAAATAAAATAAAATAAAATAAAATAAAAATAAATGAATAATAGTACCCTTGTACCACATTTTTTTTATGGTTTTGTTGGAATCGAATATACTTCTCAATATTTGGATAAATAAATAAATAAGTAAATAATGTACACTTGTGTCCCATTTTTTATATGTTTAGATCCAAAAAAATCGAAACTAGCTAGTTTACAAAATACTGTTTATGAAAAATAGTGATAGCATTGATTATTATTGATCTTATTTTATCTTCTTTGAAAAATAATGGTAGTGACTGTGTCACATGTTTAATATGTTTACATTCAAAGTATCCAAATAAGGTATACAAATTTAGTTTTAAAAAACAAAAATAATAAATCAAAGTTTGACCATTGTAAATAAAATAAATTTTAAATTTTATCAATTTAAATTTTAAATTTTAAATGTATTAATTTTTAATTTTGATTTATCAATTTAAATTTTAAACTTTTGAAATGTAATCAAAGGAAATGGTGAGATGGTCGATTATATTTCTTTACCATTTCAAAATTGTTTTATGTGGCATAAATCATGACAATTGAATATAACTAAAGCTCAGGTAAGACCCATTGAATGGGATCCGGGGGTGCTGCTGCGCCCAACTCACAGCAGTAACTGCTGTGAGTTGAAACAGCGTCGTTTCGGCCCTAAATAAAATAAATAAATAAATAAAAATTTGTTTGATTGTTCGCACGGCTTGAACCCAGGTAACTTTGGGGTGCAAAACACACCTTAACCACTGTGCTACTTAGACACCCCTAGTACATAATGCACATATATTATATTTATTACAATCTTTATTCCAGCATAAAATAAAATTTACAACCTGCTATTTTTACAATCTGTGTTCCAACATAAAATTACAAATACCCTATTGTCATAATTTTTTATTTAACATAATTAATTAAAAAAATAAAATTCCTAATTACTCTTCTATACAATAATAAATTACCTAAATTATTAATTAAAATAAATTTTTAACATCATTAAAAACTATTAATTAACTTGATAATTTATTAATAAAATAGACATTTGTTATAAAATTAAAAATTTCAAAGAGCGAAATATAATTTTCAAATCATAATAGACAATTCGTATTTTAAACAAATTTATCCTAAATTTTAAATTAGGATAACTTTTTACTCATCTCATTTACAACTCTACATTTTTTACATGGTGGATTAAAAAGAAGATTTCCCAAGGACCAAAGGCTATTGCTGCTGCCATTGACTGAGTTTTTGGAAATTGGGTTTGATCAAATAGATCCCCTGCCTAAAATGTTCAGAAACATTTGTTTCATCATTTTTTATGTTTGTGTGAAAATAGTTTTTGAAAATTCAGAAGACAGTTTTGAAACAGATTGCCAAATCAGTTTTCCATATCAGTGTTTGTTTTTTCTATTCTCAAACAGTTTTCCACAAAATTAAAGACGGAATACAAAAACCACAATCAAACTAGCTAAATTTTCAGAAAGTGTAGTTTCATAGCACCAATAAAAGAATTTCATTCCACAAAGCAGTCCATAACTCTTAAATTCTAAAGATTTGTCTGAGCATTGCATTCCATGGCAATACAGATCAAGAGGAAAACTATTCAGCAAATTGCTCGTCAAAATAGATAACTAAACCACTATAACAAACCAAAATCCCATGAAATCTGAATGACTCAGTTTTTCTCAACAATGCTACAATTTGTTAGATAACAATTTTCAGAAAGTGCAGTTTCATAGCACCAATAACAATTATTTCTCCTCAAATAAACCTTGAATCCATGTCCAATATACACAATTTGATGCTCTATTTATCAAACACAAATAAAATAAAACACAATAACAGTGGTGACTTCTCCTTAAATAAACCTTGAATCTATTTCAATTTAATTCTCAAAAATAAAGCAAAAGGGTGGCCCGCTAGATAAATGTTTACATTTCAATTTTGCGGGGGTGGTTCCGAATGGCTGAAAAAATCAAACAAATTATCATTACGAAAGACTGACTCATCCACCATGGGACTGTGCTCTGCTAGATCAAATCCTAATCCCTGCCAAAAAAAAGAAACAAAAAAAAGAAAAGATATAAGGAAATGCATTGGAAATAAATACACGCATATATGTAAAAACAAAAAATGTAGATTGCAAACAAGTATATTACACATCTGAGAACTTTGTGGATTGTGCGATGCTTGGGAAGACAAAGGCGTTGATTGTGGATTAGTTGGCGGGCATGCAAAATTAACATCATGCATGAGGAGATTATATCCGGAATTCATTAATTGTGGCCAATAGGGTACGTCAACATCCTAGTCCAAAAAATGTTGTTAGTAGTTTTATGATCATTATATACTTCAGTAATATGATTTCAATAAAAAGAATAAGATCTCACCGGTATGTGGTTTGAAGATGAATTTTGAATATTTCTAGTGTCGCTTGACTGTCCAATACTCTAAAGAGGTTGTAAAATATTTATCAGTACATTGCAAAATTTAAAAATAAATCTAGCCAATTTGAAATCAAGTACTTCGATAAATTCAATACCTGAGTAAGGCGGGTAGGTTGCGAAACAACTTTTGTTCTCTTAGTAGTCTTCTCATGCCAAGGTTTTAATCTACTCCCACCCTTATGTCCGCCCTCTTTCTTTTTTAAGCCCTTAGCTCGTGCAAAGTTTGGATCAACTACAAATTCTTTGGTGCCCACTTCAATATTGCCATCACTACCAGAAGCACCTGAGCTGTCTAATGAAGTCATCATATTGTCTACCTTTGCACACAAATCCTTAAGAGTTTCATCAACTAATTGATAGGCAGGTTTGTATTCAGATGATCGAGCTGCTAGTTTGACCATTCTAGGACAAAGATCTCTGTAGCGTGCTGCTATCACCAACTTAGGGTCATTCTCAACCACTGTAACTGTTTCCTCAATTGCACAATCCTTCGCATTTAGTCTCCATCGACCTAATATATACCTTTCAGGAATTTCCATAATATTCATTCTATCAAGCGCCTTAATTGCATGACCACATAAAATTCCAAAACTCTCAAATTTTTGACAAGTGCAATGAATTTCATGACAAATATTGTCTCCTCCCGACTCATTAACTTCCATATTACATTTCACAACATATTCTCTATCCTCTCCATATAAGCCAATCACATATGTTACTTCTCTTCCTAATGCATGACATCGCTTCACTTGACAACAAAGGGATGTATCTAACTCATTATGAAATAAGCCGAAGATAGGAGGGGTATACAACTTAGCAACTTGAATTAACATGGGAGACATTTTCAATTTTATTCTCGGCAATCGTTGTCTCGAATCGTATATGGCTTTTACTTCTTCATACCGCTTATCCATAACAACTCGATTGAAGTGTGTAAAAAATTGAACAATGTTATGGTCAACTTTTAAATGCCTCTTCAATTCTGTATTCAAGCTTTCACTAAGTTGAGTGCTTCGCATTCTTGCAGTATATACCAACTTCATATACACATGCGCCCACTTCTCTCTAAGTTCCCAAGTCTTCTTTATCCATAAGTTCTCTTGCAAGTTATATTTATGAATTAAAGAATCCCAAGCTTCAACCAACTCATGCTCATCCTCATGCCCAAAAATGCAAGTTTTGAAATCGCAACCAAATTTTAAACCACCCTTGAATAAGTAGCCTAAATGCTTCAAAACATTTTGCATTAGGTGAAAAGTGCACAATCTATGAAATACCTCGGGCATGATTTTAGAAATTGCCTTAGCCATTGCCTGATCTTGATCTGTGAAAAAACTAACAGGCTTTTTTCCTGACATTGCATGCAAGAAAGTTTCAAATAACCACTCAAATGATGCTGTAGTTTCATCATATAATAATGCAGCACCAAAAATCACAGTCATTCTAAAGTGGTTAAAGCCAGTAAATAAAGCAAGTGGACGGTACTCTTTGTTTGTTCGGAATGTTGTGTCAAATGACACAACATCACCGAAAATGCCAAAATCTGTAATCATCTGATGATCAGCCCAAAAAATATTAGTAATCATCTCATCAACATCCAATTGAAATGCAAAGTAAAAATATGGATTTCCAATGGCTTGTTGTTGAAAATATCTCAACAACCTTCCTGCTTCACCATATTGCAAGTTTCGTTGCCTCTTTGCACGCAAGTAGGTTTTTTGGTCCTCTCGTGTAAACCCTACAAATTCCTTCAGCCCTGCTAAAGCGCTAATAAGATCATGTGATGCCTTAAGTGATATACCAGTATCATCAGCTACATCGACATTTATACCCTGAGCATCACACAACTTTCTCTGAGATGGCATCATATGCGTACATTGAGGAATATGCAAAAGGTGGTTGTGATTATCATCACACTTCATCAGAACCCATTTTGACAAGTCCCGTCTAAAAGATATATACATGAATGCATTGCATTTCGTTCTTGTCTCATGTTGAGGATGTTTTACTGTTATGTACCGTTTATCTTTTTCCTTTTCTCCCTCTTTACAACAAACAAACTTCCTATTAATCATGATACCATCTTTCTTACTTTTAGTATGGTAATCTCTTCTAATACTAAATCCCACAATCCTTCCATATTCATTGTAGAATTCATATGCACCTTCCTCCGAATCAAATTCCATTCCAACATATGGCATGGAATTGTTGGCCAACTTCTCAAGTGCACCATCTTCCATTTCGGCACTACTGACATCAACAGTAAAAAATAAGTATACTAATGGGGCTGTTTGCTGCGGAGTAGTATATAATATTTTTTTGTTTTTGAAAAATTTATGTTAGATTGTTTAACATAAATTTTATTTATTGATTCTATCAATCAGGTGGCTAAACTGCATTGTATTGCAACAGTTCTGAAGGAATAAAAATGAAGTTGGACAATAACATCAACAACCATTAAGAAACTTAGCAAAATGCTTTAAGATGAAAACTTAGCAATACTGAAGAAAAAAGATCAAAATACTTATATATACAAAATGTCATCAAAATGCTTTAGAATCACATCAAAATGGCATCAAAATGCCATCAAAATGCTTTAGAAAAATCAAACTTATAATGATAAAAACTTAGCAATACAGACGAAAAAGACAAACTGGTACTAATCACTTGAATCACATCTTCAGAACATTACAACAGCCATTAAGAAACTAAAATTCTCCTACCATGATAAAATGACATGAATGTGCATACACAACCCTCTATTGTTCATATTAACCAGTTGCTGTAATATAGGAACATTATTAAGAACATTATTCCTACTCATAAAATCAATCAGCAAAACACAATTAATGAGATACATTGATCATCATTTATCCATCACTAGAACAGGATGATATAGGAACAAGCCAGAAACCAATGATGAACTTATGTAAGTGTAGGTTTACTTATTCACACAACAACTTCATTTCTAATAATAACAGAGCATCAATTTCATAACAGAGCATCAATTTGGATTAAAAAAGATCATAACATTTTTTAACTTAAAATGTTATATTAAAATCCCCAATTCAAAACACAATCTCTATTTGATATGAAAATAAATCACCATATATATATATACATAATAGATTGTAATAACAAAAGATTTTTTTTCATAACAAACCTCAAAAGATTTTTGAGATACAGCAGACCCAATATTTCATAACAAATGATTTTTTACATAATAAATAAATCACCATATATATCATAACAAACCTCAATATATATACAAAATATTTTTTTTCAACCTCAATAAATAACAAATTGCTTATATATATATATACACAAAAGATTCTTACCAGGTAAATAAGCAGCCTCAATGACAATGCTGATAGTGGAGCTACAGTACAACAATGGCGGATGATCGTCGAAGGAATGTCGGAGCAAACGGTGGAGGCACGGTGGAGGCACGACGGAGTATTGGTGGAGAGACGGCAGACCCAAACCCTTCCCGCTCACAGACTCTGTTTATTTTGCTTCAATCGTTTTTTGTGTTTTACTTATAACAGGTTGTAAATTTTTTTTTATGTTCGAATAAAGATTGATATAAATATAATATAGGTTCATATTATTCATAAGATATTGGAGTGGCACAGTGGTCAAGGTGTGTTTCGCACCCCAGAGGTGCCTGGGTTCAAGCCGCGTGAACAACCAAACAAATTTGTTTTTTTTGTTTTTTTTTTTTATTTAGAGCCGAAACGACGCCGTTTCAACTCACAGCAGTTACTGTTGTGAGTTGGGCGCAGCAGCACCCCCGGATCCGCTTAGCCATTTCTCCTTCTCCAATTTTTGATCTCTTTTGATTTTATGCACACCACTTTGGGTAATGGATCAAACCTCCTGTACTATAGAAGACTATTCAAGCTTGGAGAAACCATTGGAAAGTGGGAAGATCATTTTTTTTTTCTCAAACTTGGAACTTTGATGTAGAACTTGAAGTTGGATCAAGAACACCTCAGTCCCAGCTTCATTCCTCTTTATTCTTTTTTAAAAGCTTCAAAAGGTATATGATTTTCTCTATCTTGTTACTTTAAAATTCATGGTAGGATTATTTTGAGAAAATAAATTATTGTTAGAGAAAATATACGATTCTCCACACGTAAATCAATCAATGGAAATAAAAACTAATGAGGAAAAATTAAATCAAAAGTAACACTAGAATTTTACGTGGTTCCCTCAATTTGAGGTACGTTCACGGGATCGAAATAAGATTCCACTATTAACCAAATAGTTTCCAAACGATTACAAACGAGACACGAATGGTCTCAGAAACCACCCTTAGGTGAATCTCAAAAAATCACAAATAAACCAGAGGAAAGACCTCACCAAATAGATGAACCAAAATTTTCGAAACCAGAGTTGAAGATCCAAAATAACGAACCAAATCAACCCACCAAATAATGATCAAACAAATTGATGCTCCACAAAACAAAGTCCACCGAATTGCTTGGTCAACTCATGCACTATCTCACCAATCAAAGTGTATTCTGCTGCCGCTATATTAATGCCTCGGATGAACATAATATATATATATATATATATATATATATATTAAATCTTGAGTTTTGTAAAGGCAGCCACTTCAATGCCTCGAATGAACATAATATATATATATATATATATATATATTGTTGATTTTTGGACTATTAATCAAAACCCTAATTGTATCCAAATTAAATTGGGTCTCTGAAAATTAGATATAATATATTAAAATATATTATACCTAAACCAAATCAAATTAAAATTCTTTAACGAAAACCAATTGAGTCTCAAACTCCAATAAGGAAATATACCCCAACATAAATCATGATAGGAGTTGTATTGCATATATTCTTCTCATAATTATGATTGGGTATTTCATTTTGTTCTTAGAATTTATTGGAGAAAATCATGTTGTGTTAGATAAATACTTGTCCAAAGTCTCATTTTGAAATTAGAGAGTTGTTTGTGGAATAAAAACTCCAAAAATACACTAGTCAAGCCATTTGATATTGATGTAGATTGTTATTTTTTGTTTACTTGTGTGAAAATGAAATACATATATATATATATATATATATATATACATACATATAATTTGGGCTTCTAAACTTCAAACCCTAAAAAGTGGACTTTTAAACATATTAGATGATTTTTTTTTATTTATGTAAATGTCATATTGATTAGTAAATTTTGGAAAAAAGAAAATTGTAAAAATTACTAACTGTAGAAAATTTGAGGAAAAATTAGTTATTTGAGTAGCTTGACATTAAGGCCTTGTTTGGCAAGTGGATTTTTGGCCTTTTTTTAAAAAAAAAAACTAAAATTCACAAAAAGATAAAATAAGCTAAAATATTTAATAAGATAAAATATCACATTAAACTCATAATTATTTTACTTTTTCTCTCACAACATCACATCAAATTACAAAAAAATCTAACTTTCTTTCTAAATACAAAAAATTTAGTCTATTAAAATAGTTAAAAACTAAAATAACTTACTAAAATAACTAATTTTCCGAACAAGGCCAAAATGTGATTAGGTTTGAAAGATGTGAAGTTCTAGATTACATTGGATATTTTTCTTAGGTTTCTAGATATGATTAGTTTTGTTATTATGTCAGATCCTTTGCGGTTAAAATTATGTTATTGGGATCATATCATGACTTTTAATGTAATAAGAATAAAATGGCAAGAGTATGGGATTTGGAAAAAAATACTATAGTTAGTTGGTTTGGTGTGGAATGAAATTTGATTTAAAAGAATTGTTCATGTAATGACCGGTGCGTAGTTTTCCTTACTCTCTCTGAATTACGTTAAAAATTACGGTTGTTAAGATGCCGGGTAAGTTTTAGTTGAAAATTTCTTTCTTGAAACTTTCTCTGTTGTGGTTGTCTCAGTTTTGAGTTTTCACTCGTTTTGGAGGGTGCGGGGTAGGCTCCGGGGTGTTGGGAGTGAAGCCTAAGATTTTTCTGGGCTGGGAGCCAGGGCCGCACGTGCGAGGCCTTGGGTTGCACGTGCGGGAGAGGGGCCGCATGTGCGGGAGGTTTGGCCGCACGTGCGGGAAGCTGGGTTCTGTGCTGGGAGCACACTGCTTAAAAAGCAGGTGAATGAATTGAGGTGCAGGGGTGGGAGCCGCACGTGCGGGAAGCTGGGTTCTGTGCTGGGAGCACACTGCTTAAAAAGCAGGTGAATGAGTTGAGGTGCGGGGGTGGGAGCCGCACGTGCGGGAGGCCGCGCCACACGTGCGGCTACACGCGTTTTCTGCTTCGTTTTTCGAGCTTTTCAACTATATTTTTGTACTTTTGGCCCCTTTCTTCTCATTTGCTGATATATCACTCTCTCTCTATAACATTCTTTCTTTTTCTCTCGTCTCTCTATCTACCCAAACCCTCAAAGTTTTACATTTCCTTTGATTCCTTGAAATCCATTGAGTTTTGGTTACTAGTTCTTTATATCAAAATGACGAGCGTGTCGAGGGCTTCGTCTTGACCGGTGGAGATCGTATTCCGGCGACGTTGATTTTCGAGCTTTGTCTCCTCTTCTCCCTTGAGGTAGGGATTTCTTGAGTTATATATACATGTTTTGCTACATTGATGGTGGTTTAAGAGTTTTTCTCCAAGTTTTGTGTTGATTTTAAGAATGGGTTCAAGTGTAGAGAAATATTAAAATCTTAGTTTTCAAAACTCAATTCTTGTTACTCCATGTTGATGGTTCACTCATAAAACCTAAGAAATATGATTTTGTTGGGATTTACCAAGGAAATGAGAAGTGTTTTGTCTTGATGAAAAATCCTAAAATTTGGGCATTTTGGCAAATAAGAAATATACCAATGGAATTCTTTATTCTTTTAAGTCAAGAGGATGAATGAAAGTAAATTTTATTAATGTTTAAAGAAGTGACTATCTATGTGAAGTAAGAGAAATGAGATGTTATTTTTATAAAATTCTTAAACACAAGAACATGGATTTGTTGGAAGATGATAAATGGTTATGTGCCTCAAATTGTAAGAATTGTAAATCTGGGCGAATTATGTTGAGAACATAATAGATATATTCTTGAAGAGGCGAACTTGCTATGGTCTGAGTATGGCAAGTAATTGTGGTTGTTGCTATAAATGGAAAGCATATGGTTAAGTTGTGAAATAACTTTGCAAGAGAAGAAATGAGAAATTGAATTTTATGGACCTTGTTGTAGAGATATTTGAAAATGAAGAAATGTTA